GGGGTTGGAAGGGGCTTGTGTAGTAGAGGTAGACGAGAGTAGCGTGAGGAAGTGATGGAAATGGGTGGGAAGGGGTTTCAAGTGGTGGAGGAAGGAAGGGACAAGTGGGTGAGGGGTTGGTGGTGGCAGTCAAGGTGTTGGGGTTGGTCAAATAGGGAGGAAATTGGTTGTATGGGACTCAGTGACCAAATTTCCAAAGCAAAGGGAAGGAAAAAGGAAGAAGAGAAGGATATTTTGGTAAATCAAATAGGCGATTGCCACCTCTTTATATTTACTTTTCATCTTCTCATTTTAGTTGTAATTATAAAAAAATTTCTCATTGATTTATTAATTGTAGCCCTAATGTCCTTGGGATGTAGTTCCCCAAATTGAAATTACTAAATTACACTATCCTGATGATATTCGTCCCTCCTCTTAGGCATATGTATATAAACAATCCAACTAAAATCAATCATCTAAGATACTTGTCCCAAAAAATATTGCATTTATAAGATAAATTTTACAAGTATATAATATACATATATAAAAGAAATGCTACTATGCACATCCCTTATCATAAGAACGTTACTCAAAAAACAAAGCACAATTCGTTAGGTCAAAATTAACCAAGTGTAAAAAGCTACATGTTTAGATAGGAAATCAAAAGTGACAAAATAGTGAAAAAAAACATTCTTTGTTTTTTACAAGAAATATTTATGTATATTTTACAAGAAATTGAAAAGCAACTTACCATGTTGCTATGGATTGTATACAAAATTTGACAATCTTACATTTTCTAACATTATCATGATAAATTTATCATGCAAACAATCATGGGAAGAAAAATTCAAAATTTTCCCTTTCTCACACTACCCACTACTCCAATTCTAAAGTTTCGCACTAATCTTTCATGGTTGCTAGGAAAGCCTCCACGCTTAGAGGGAAAATAATAAGTCAAGGATTCTCTTAGCATCAATATACTTTCGAAAAATGATGTGGAAATTCATTTTATTGAGCATAAGCTTCACGTCGACAACCTTTTAGCCAAAATTTAAAATCATATACTTCAATTCTTTTTAGCTTTTCAAAGTTGTTTTGTTGGTTAGAGTCACTTTCTCATTATCTTGTCAACTGCTCATGCTTAAAGAAGGATACAAGTGAAGTTCAAACACTATTTTGATTAGCATTTTTGGAAGTATTTCTATTCTATTGTATGTGAACTACGTTTGCTTTTCAATACATATATATATATAAAAAAAAAACCAATCAAACAAAAGATTTAATTCAAATGGCTATTTAATTCAAGTAGAACAATAAGTACTACACATTACCAAAAGCACTTGGAATAACTATTTGCCTTAACTTACAAATTGGGAGCTCCCAACCATAAGTTATAGCTGCTTCATGTGAATATCACTAAATATGTTTTGGGATAAATCTTCGGAGAACATGTTAAATCAATCACAAGTTTTCAACATCTAAATGCAATGAAAATATAGTTCCAAAATACTTTTGTTTAAATTGCTAACAAACTAGGCATTCTTACAAACATCTTAAATGCAATCAACATTCAAATAACATAATTAGCGCTATAATTTTAATGCCAAAATAAGATGAAATATTTTGCAACAAATCAAGAACAAGTCATGGAAGCAACAAAACAGCTACAAAACACTATATCAATTAATGTAAAAAAGGATTATTTCATTATAAATGTCAACCGAGATATATAAATAGCAAAATAGAATAAAATCCTCACAAAGCCTTGCTTCATTAGTACAAATTTCGAATCAATGTGAGCCAGGGGAGACTGGAATACAAATTCAGAGAGAGAAAACAGAGTAAAAAATGGAGAAGAAGAGAGTTTTAGAAGAGGAAGGGTTTTAGAAATAATCAGAGGGAGGCATACCTTGTTGATTGCTCTTCCAAAAAAAATTCTTTATTTTCTTAGAAACCAAACAAAGGCTCACCGGGTTAGATTAGGGTTTTAAACCGAACAACCATTTCGGCCTGCATTCAGTCGAGCCAGAGAAAGAAAGAGGAATGAGCGCAGCAGAGAGAGAAGAGAGCGAGAGGAGCAGGGGAAGAGATGGAAGGAAGGTGTAGCAGAGAGAGAAAGATGGGGGGCGACAGAGAGAGAGATGAAAGTGAAAGTAGAGAGAATACACTATGGAAGAAGAGAGAATATAGATGGTCAACCGGTTGCTCCAGTGTCCAATTTTTCAAAATTAAATAATTCAATGGTCTGGATCAACTTATGTAATCCGATGGCCAATAATAAAGGTGCATATGGTGTGCAACCCTTAAAGGGTTGCACACTACAACACGACCCGTTAAGGACTTTTATCATGCTAAACAACAAGGGAAAAAAAAAATTCAAAATTTTCCCTTTTTCACACTTTCCACTACTTCAAACCTAAAGTTCGACACTAATCTTTCATGGTTGTTAGGAAAGCCTCCACGCTTAGAGGGAATATAGTAATTCATGGATTATTTTAGCATCAATACACTTTGAAAAAAGTATGCGGAGGAAATTTATTTTATTAAACATAAGCTTCATGTGGATTAAAAATTAAAATTAAAATCGTATAATAGAGGAAATTCATTTTATTAAACATAAGCATGTTGACTGCATTTTAGCTAAGATTAAAATAATATACTTCAATTCTTTTTAGCTTTTCACACTTTTTTGTTGGTTGGAGTCTTTTCCCCATTATCTTGTCAACTGCTCATGCTTAAACAAGGATACAAGTGAAGTTCAAGCACTATTTGATTAGCATTTTTAGAAGTATTTCTATTCTATGTGAACTACGTTCGCTTATATATATATATATATATATATGTGTATATGTATGTTTTTAAAAACCAATTAAACAAATGATTTACTTGAGATGGCTATTTAATTCAACTAGAACAACAAGTACTAAACATTACCAAAAACACTTACAAATTGGGAGGTCCTAACCACAAGTTATAGTTGCTTCATGTGAATATCACTCAATATATTTTGGGATAAATCTTCGGAGAACATGTTAAAGTCAATCACAAGTTTTCAACATCTAAATGCAATGAAAATATAGTTCCAAAATACATTTGTTTAAATTGCTAACAAACTAGGCATTTTTACAAACATCTTAAATGCAATCAAAATTCAAATAACAAAATTAGACCTATAATTTTAATGCCAAAATTTCTTACGAAATATTTTGCAACAACTCGAGAACAAGTCATGGAACCAACAATATGGTTACAAAATACTATATTAATTAATGTAAAAATGGATTATTTCATTAAGAATGTCAACCGAGATATATAAACAGCAAAATAGAACAAAATCATTACCAAGCCTTACTTCACTGCAAATTTCGAATCAGTGTGAGCCAAGAAAGACTGGAATAGAAATTCAGATAGCACTATAGACAGAAAATAGGGTAAAAATCAGAGATTATAGTTTTAGAAGAGGGAGGATTTCAGAAATATACACAGAGAGTAAAAAATGGGGAAGAAGAGAGTTTTAAAAGAGGGTTTAGGGTTTCAGAAATAATCAGAGGGAGGCATACCTCGTTGATTGCTCTTCAAAAAAAAATTCCTTCGTTTTCTTACAAACCAAATAGAGGCTCACTGGGTTAGATTAGAGTTTTAAACCGAACAGCCACTTAGAATCTGCAGTCAGTCGAACTAGAGAAAGACAGACGAATAAGCACAGTAGAGAGAGAAGAGAGAGAGGAGCAGGGGAAGAGATCACTCGAAGGAGGGAGTAGTAGAGGGAGAGGGAGAGAGAGAAACGAAAGAGTGAAAGTAGAGAGAGAGAATATCCTGTTGGAAGAAGTAGAGAGATGGTCAACCGGTTGCTCTCCGGTGGTCTAATTTTTCAAAATTAAAGAATTCAATGGTCAGAATGTATTTGTGTAATCCAATGACCAATAATGAAGGTGCACACGGTGTGCAATCCTTTAGGGGTGCACACTACAACATGACCCTATTTCACAATGGGTGAATCTCACCAATAAAAAAATATCTATTCACCAATAAAAAAATATTTACTGTACCTAATACCTCCTTAGTTTGGACTTTTTAATAATTTATTCATAATTTTAATATAATATTTTGATTTTATATGACAATTATTTTAATTTAATTTATATTTATAAAAAGAAGTTTGTTTGGTTTTAGTTTTCTAAAAAATTGAGTTTTTTATTTTTTATTTTTAGTGTTTTTTTAAAAAAATTTAAGTAATTTTTTTACTTTTTTAGATACAACTTATTTAGATGTATTTAAATAATAATTAATAAATACACAAAAATATATTTTAAAAAAATATATTGAATTTTCGTATTTTTTTCTTCTATTTTTTGGTATTTAGTATATTTTTTTTACTAATACTATATTTTTTAAATGCATTTATGTTAAGTGAGTTTAAAAAAATTTAAAAATTATTTAAAATATTAAAAAAATTATTGAAAACATTGAAATACAAAAAAAAATAAAAAAATAATATAAATATTTTACATTTTAGGTGTGTCTTATATGCATCTAGAAAGTAAAAAAATTATTTTAAATATTAAAAGAAATACAAAAAAAATAAAAAAATAATTTTTTTTGAAAATGGTTTTCTGAAATCTTTTTCAATTCACTAGTTGAGAAAGGGAATTGGGGATGCTGCTGCGCAACAGCATCTATTGTGCGGTAAAATGGTTCATTTCAGGATTCATTTTGATAATTTATACCGTTCACATTATAGAATATATCAAGTAGAACATATTTGAAAAAAATTAAGTTAATTGGATATCGTTTACCCATTCATCTACTCAAATTTATATTTATAAAAATAAATAATAATTGTAATTTAAAATATTAAAATAAATACAAATATAAATGAATGAATAAATAATATCTAATTAAATTAATTTTTTATAAATATATTTTAACTAATATATTTTAAAATATAAACGATTTAAATTATCAAATGAACTCCGAAATGACATATTTTACCGCAGAACAGTGCAACATCATCTCCAAATTATTGAGAAAGGCGTGGTGGATATGAAGAAGCAACGTCGTCGTTTTTTTCTTGAAACGAGTAATTTCAGGGTACTCACCCACATGAGGGCGTCACTGTGAAAGTGCCATTTCGCTCGTCTCTCTCTCCGTCTCTGTGTTCGATCGGCGACATCACAGCCGTCCATCAATGTTCAACAACAGTATATCGATTTCGGTCTCCGATGAAGATTCCGACGATCTCGCCGGAAAGATGAGAGTCCGAGTCCGTAGAAAGCGCAAGAAATCGGTCTTCCGAGGCAAGAACGAGTTGGCTCAGCGATTACTCAGGAAGCTATTGAGATGGTGGCCCGTCTTGCTCTTCCTTCCCGCCGCTGGACTCCTCATGTTCGAGGCCTCCAGAATTGGCCGAAAACCGAGTCCAGTGCTCGTCTCGAAACTCGCTTCTCAGAAGGAACCAAAACCTGTTGTGGAAAAGAAATCGGAAGCCAACTTGAATCGCCTCGATCCGACTACTCGGGTGATCGGTGGCGTCAGACAACGTAAGTTCCTCTCAGAATCTTGAAAATTTGTGTATTAATCTACTTGTTTGTTTATCAGCAAAGAGCATGATTTAAGTTATGCACTTGAGCAATGGCTTTGAAATGACTGGTTTGATTCTTAGTTTCAGTTGCTAAGTGCTTGATTGGTATGTAGAAACAAAACTTCTAGAATTTCGTTTGTATTGATTCATGTGCTCAGTTGATTTGGCAGTGATTGTCTCTGTTGTAGTATATGTATTATAATTTTTTTGTGACCTAATAATTACTTATTATGTTAGCAAAATTAATGGGACACCAATTGAACAAAATAAAGATAACTGGTTTTTAAGGCTTATCAGAACATTATGGTTGTTTAGTGCACCTTATTGAGCTACTTACATCTTTTTCTTTTTTAAACGGTGGTGGACCTGCGAGAAACTCATTGCCCAGGGCCTGTGCATCTGCGGGGATTAGTTGGGCTTTGATTTGGACATCCAGTGCCAATAATAAAATAAAGGGGAAATTACCCACAGGTCCCATGTGGAACATGTGGACACCATTTAATCCCATAACTTTTTGAGTACACCCAAAAATCCTTTCCTCTCTCTCTTTTTTGCTTCCCTTCCTCTCTCGTTTTTTTTTTCTATATTTTTCTCTCATCGTCTTTGTCATGGACGACAACCGGTGATCATGTCTTTCTCCATTGATCGGGGTTCACTGATAACTGCCAACCATCGAAATCAACTCGTGACTTCACTCTCACCGACAACGAAGATAATATATTTCCGACGAAGAAAATGATATATTTTCAACGAAGAAGATGAGTGGATGTACTTAGATCTGATGATCTGAGTAGATCTACATCAGATTTGACTAGATCTAAACAAAAAATAGTTGCCGGAGTACAATCCTCTCTCTACATGCGCCTTTCTCCTTCGATCTCTTTTTTTTTTTTTTTCTCTGCTATACACTTCTGTTTTTCTGTTCTAATGGAGAAAATTTTCGAATTCTGAACAAGTAGTTTTCGATTTTTAGTTACAGGCGGTGAAAACTGTAAAATTTTGCAGTTTCAAATTTTTTTGGTGCTGGAATGAATCATGGTATAAAACTATAAAATTTTACAGTTTCATAACATGTTTTTCAATTTGATTAATAAGGATAAATGCTTAATAGATTTTTGTTTTGAAACTGTAACATTTTACAGTTTCAAAACTTACTTTTCAGTTTGATCACTATTTAGAGATTATTTGCTTGAACCTTACAAAAATTGAAAAATAACATATGTTTTCCCCATTGTTGCTGTTTTTTGTCGTTTCATTTTTTTTCCTTTTAGTTTATCAATATTTAGCACATTTTGCTATGTTTTTTTTGCTATAATTTATCCATTTATTTTTTTTTTTCCGGCAATATTGTAGACATTCCAGTGAGTCTCCAGTGATATTCTTAACGTCCAGTGAACGTTCTGAACATTCCGGCGACTTCCATTAACGTTCTTTGTCTCTGGCGAACTTCCGGCGAAACTCCGGCGACTTCCCGGCGATGTTGAACATTCCGACGAGTCTCCGGCGACCGTTTGACGGAAGTCCTACGGTAGTAAGATGTGAACAGTGTCTGTAAATTAAAAAAAAAAAAAAAAGGATTTTTTGGTAACAATTAAAAATGTATTGGACTAATTGGTGCAAGTATTTTGTTTTGGGATTAGCTGGGTTTTGAACTTGGTATATGGGACTTATCAGTAAGTTCCCCTAAAATAAAAAAAGTAGGACAGAGGTGGTTTTAGTTTTTTTATTATTAGCTTTAGTTTGTTAGAAGCTATGCCAAACGGGCCAATTATTATTTATATCTTCAACATGCTCCCTCGCATGGGGTCAGTCCTCCATAGTGAGGTATTTTAATTGTCAGGGAGAAGGTGAGGTTTGAACATGGGATCCATTTTAATTATCGGATAGGTGGTGAGGTTTAAACACAAGATCTATTGCCTGCCTACTCTGATACATGTTGTGTTGTTGACCACCAATTCATCTAAACTAAATGCTTAAACAGTTAGAGAGTGGGTTGACATTATTATTTACATCTTCAACACCTAAGAGATCTCCCCTATAGCCTTTTCAATTTATGTTCTAATGCAGATGTAACCTACTGCCAAAATGCTAAGTCAAGTGGTGAATAATCCATTTGGCATTCATTGCCAGTATACAGTGCTGATAAATTTTAGTATGCGTTTGATTCCTTAATGCTAATCATATATGAATTATGTAGTTAGGAAACCAGAGTTCTCACTGAATCTCGGCGATGACAAGTCACTGCTGATGACTGGTCCTTTCTGGAAAATTGTCCAGTAAGGCTGGAAAACTTTTGATTTCTGTGTTGACAAGTCTGATCTAGGGCTCCAATTCATACTTGTTGGAAGTAAGAGAGGTATTAGGTGTTCCTTGCTTTTACCGGAGCAAAAGGTGTTATGGGTTTGTGATTGCTTAAAAAACCAGACCACAGGAAGATCATTAAAACTCTGTTTATGGATTGGAGGGTTGATTTGGTGTGTCTACTACAATAAAATAAAATAAAATAAAGCAATTTGAACAGATGACCAATGAAGTAGTTAGAAGTATGTGATTTATCAAAAAAAAAAAAATCTAGTTAGAAGTATGTGGTGACAGAAATGAAGCTGGAGAGAGAATCTTAGATTTTGCGTTGGCTTCTGACCTGGTGGTGGCCAATACTATGTATAAGAAGAGGGAGGAGCATTTGATAACTTTTAAGAGTAGATTAGTTAAGAGCCAAATAGATTACTTCTTAGTGAAAAAAGTGGACTGCCTAAAATGCAATGATTGTAAGGTGATTCCTGGAGAAAGTCTGGTCTCTCAACATAGGATTTTAGTACTAGATTTATGTTTTAGAGGGCAATCCCAAGCTAGGAAGGATGGTGGGCGTCGTAGGACGAGATGGTGGGACCTAAAAGGAGATAAACTAGAAATATTTAAGAATCGAATGGATAAGGAAGGTACTTGGGACTTAAAAGGTGATGCTAACACTATGTGGAATTCGATGGCCAATTGTATGAGGAGAATCTCAAGGGAAGTGCTTGGAGAGTCGAAAGGAACGGGACCCAACTCTAGGGAAACTTGGTGGTGGAGGGAAGAGGTTCAAGCGGTAGTTAAGGCAAAAAAAGAGTGCTTTAAAAAGTGGCAGAAGGATAGAACTGAGGAAAACCTTAAGAGCTATAGATTGGCTAATAAGGAGGTCAAGAAAGTAGTGAGAGAGATTAAGTTGAAAGTTTATGATGACCTATACACTAGACTAGATAGTAAGGAGGGAGAGAAGAGGGTATACCAACTTGCTAAGATACGGGAGAGGAAAACAAGAGATTTTAATCAAGTAAAGTGCATCAAGAGTGAGGATTCTAAGGTATTAGTGAAGGACGATGAGATTAAGGAAAAATGGAAGAATTATTTTGAAAACTGTTAAATGATGAACATGGAAGTACGACAATAAGGGAAGAAATAATCAGTAATACGATAAACCAAAACTATAGGTTCTATCGCAGGATTAGAAATTTTGAAGTGGAGATTGCACTTAAGAAGATGAAATCAAATAAGGCTTTAGGACCTGATGATATCCCTATTGAAGCTTGGAAGTGTTTGGGTAAAAAGGGAGTTGCTTGGTTGACTAGGTTGTTTAGCAAAATTTTGTTGACTAAGAACATGCCAGATGAATGCTCTCATCTCACATCTACCTACTTCCACTAATGTTTTTTTGATACCACGTTGATTATAAAGCGATCATTCTTACACTTAACTATCTATTTCAGTCCTCTTCACTGGTAACACCCAAAATTCCAACTAGTTAACAGAGTCAAACATGGGACTCGAGAAGGAAGACATTAAATTCCAAGAAGAACTTAATAAAAATCAACAAGCCATAAGGCAGATACTAGGGTCCTGTTTGATAACCTATGTTTATTATTTTTTGTTCATATTTACAAAAAAAAAAAATTTAAAGAACAGAAAAACTCGTTTGGTATCTATTTTAATTTTCAAACACTAGTAAGTTTTACAAAATAAACAGTAACTTGTAAACATTGCCAAACTGCACCAAGGCATTCAACTATAATCTTCAACTAATGGAAAACATAATTCTTCAGGCTGATTATTGTTCTCATAAAAAATTAACGTAATTTTTTTTAATAGTAGTCAATGAGCCTTGCATAATAAATAATTTAAATTATTAAAATTGTCTGAAATGGACTCAGTCAAGCTCTCACAGCAGCTTGTTGAATTAGATGTGCTCAAGTTTAGACCAAGTAGTAGAAATGGGTCTTCAATATGCATAGATGGAAGTGTTAGGGGACGGGGTAGGCCTAGATTAACGTTGACTAGCGTTATAAATAGAGATATGAATCTACTTAATTTGACTAATGAAATGGCCTTTGATAGGGCCGCGTGGAGAAGAAAGATTCATGTAGCCGACCCCCTTTTGATGGGACTTAAGGCTTGGTTTGGTTTGGTTAGAAGTATGTGGTATAACATGTTTGTTGATTAGGTGGCTTTAGGTGCTGTGGGCACTGCGGGTAGAATCTTGGTGCTTTGGGACAAAAGGGTTTGGACAGAATTGAACAAAAATTGTTGCATTATCATTTTGTGTTTTGGAGTTAACTCCATAATCTGCTTAGTGACGTGAATGAAATGTATGAATAAAATGTGGAAGGTAAAGTGAGATATATGCATGTGTTTATTTACAAATAAGAGTTTGGTAAAAATAGAGAGTAGTGAGTCATAGATGGGAGTCTCAATTACAAGAGTCAACTTCTGGAATTGAAGGCCTGGGGGAGATGAAGTTACAAAGATCAGGAATGAACGGTTGATATACATGCCATTAATATCAGTGGCAGACGAACCTAATTAAGTGTTTTTCATTTGTTTGCAGCGATTTGATGTTATAAAGTATTTCATCATATGTTGGGATTTGCAAGTTCTAAACTACTGAATTTTTGTTGAAATTGAAATATGATTCATTGCTAATATTGTCTTCATTTCTGCATTTCCTTCATCTCACATCTTACGGATGTTTAAAGGCAGTTCAATTCATGACAAGCTTTTGTGGATCATATCAGGTTGCTTGAAGCTCCTACCTCCCGAAGAACTTGAGCACTTGGATATTCCCATGGATAAACAACCTGTTAATCCTATTAAAAAAGTGGTATACATATCAGCAAATGATACACCTTATGTAGAAGGGAACATTATCCTTTTTCAACAGCATACGGAAGCTACAAGATTTAATTTATTTACAGGAAACCAAACTCTAGAGCAAAGAGAGAAAAGTTATAAGGTTATAAGCTGCATCTTGAGATCTTTAACATGGTTTACACTATCTAGTCCGTGTTCAAATACAGCATAAGATCAATTACTTTCAATTTGCTGTAACTAGAGTATACTATTCATGAACTTTAGATATTTGCATCTTTCTTGCCTAAGTTGCCTTTAGTCTATTGCCTCTTTTACTTTTTAGGGATTGGTCTTCCCTGGCTGTTGTTGCTTATCCATTTTTCGTTTGACATTGGTCGCTATATATAAATGAATGTTGCAGGTGGATGAAACAGCTATTGTACACTGTGGTTTCTACAGTGAGAATGGAGGGTTCAAAATTTCTGATGAGGACAAAAATTACCTGCAAACTTGTAAAGTTGCAGTCTCTACTTGTGCATTTGGTGGTGGTGACGATTTGTATCAACCAATTGGAATGTCAGAGGCATCACTTAGAAAGGTTTTTTTCCAAGGAAGAATTCTTGTTTATTGCCTTTTTAGGTTTCACTGCTATTTTTTATGCTTAGAATACTGAATGGATGCAGGTTTGCTACGTGGCATTTTGGGATGAAATCACTCTAGCTGCACAAGAGGCAGAGGGACATAGAATTGGTGAGAACCAATTTATTGGGAAATGGCGCATTGTTATTGTTAAGAATCTCCCTTTCAGAGACCAAAGGTTGAATGGTAAAATTCCTAAGGTAGCAAAGTTATACATCCAATCAGTGTGATGTCATTCATGTCTTTTATCTCTCCAATTTTCTCAAATTTATTAGACGTAAATTAAGTAATGTTTCGTGTAACTGTGCCAAGAGATTAATAGCAATGGAATGACCTTTATCAAGAAATAACAAACAACAGCTTCATTTATTTGAGAAATCCAAGCTCTTGTTTGTTATTTCTTGATGAAGATCATTCTTACTATTAATCTCTTTGCACAAGATTTGGACTGAAAAGCTTGCTACAACGTACTCACACAACCTGTGGTGACTTTTCACCTAGAAATTTATAGGACTGGTATTATGGGAGTACCTCAGAGCAAATTGAAAGGTGATGCTCCCCAGACCTCAATTTCGGCGACAGTACTGTGGTGTCTGGTGCCTTTCTTTCTTGTTTGACAATTGGTGTAAACTTGATGATAATCATTTTAAACTGAATAGGTTAGGTCATATAGCAATAATTTGTTCATTTTTGCTGTTGTCAGATGCTGAGTCATCGCCTGTTTCCTCATGCGAGATATTCTATTTGGGTAGACTCAAAGTCCCAATTCAGAAGGGACCCTTTGGGTGTTTTAGAAACCCTTCTTTGGCGTTCAAATTCTGTACTTGCAATTTCGGAACATGGAGCTAGGAGTAGTGTGTATGATGAGGCAAAGGCTGTTGTCAAAAAAAACAAAGCCACCCCAGAAGAAGTTGAGGTGCAGTTGAGTCAGTATCGCCATGATGGCCTTCCTGAGGACAAAAGGTTCAATGGAAAGAAAGGTAAGCTTTTACACACCACTTGTTCTCTAGGAGCATAAAATGATAACGAACAGTAGTTAATAATAATGGAAAAAGTAAATTTAAATCATGCTTTGCAATTATGTTTAAATACAATGTTCAAACACTAAGGTGGAACAAATACACTTAGGTGGAGTGAAATTGTCTTCTAATTCACTAATAATCCCAGAAGACAAGTTACTAATTAATTTTTTTCTGCCTTGTTTGGCATTATTGATTGCCTTGCCTTGCCTCCCTACACTGTGGTGTACCTCCATTTATCTGTTTAAACATTCATTTAGTTGGTAACAGGTTTGGATGTGGGGGAGAAAGCCACAACTGTTGAGATTAGGCATATTTGAACTGTGTTTAGAAACACGGTGATTTAATCCATGGGAGGGTTATCCTTGATATATTGGCCTGTGCAGCTCTAGCAGCTTAGTTAAACGAATTTTTGTTTGTATGCTCGTTTTTTTTATTTTTTTATATGTATTGTTCTTTGCAGCTCTATCTGAAGCTTCTGTAATCGTGAGGGAGCATACACCATTGACCAATTTGTTCATGTGCCTTTGGTTCAATGAAGTGGTTCGTTTCACTTCTCGGGATCAGCTGAGCTTTCCGTACGTTCTCTGGCGATTGGGAGTGTTGAAGAACATCAACATGTTCCCTGTTTGCACCCGCAAGGATCTTGTTAATAGCATGGGCCATATACGCAAAGCTAAGCCTCTAACAAGCTGACTCTAGGTGTTCGATTGCTGTCTACTTCTGTGAGTGTGAAAAATGTGTCTTAGAGGTGAAAGAGACTGCAATCGTTCCTCAATTTATTTGGAAGTGCTGTGAACTTCCTTCCTCGTGTCATTTACTATTGAAGGGAGAATTGTTTCAGTCCTCAAAATTTTATTATTACATGACACAGTAGTTTGTAAGATTTGTTAATTTGTAAAGTAATTTTCAATTCAAAATGAAACGCAAACTTGTCTCCTTATTCAAGCCATATAAAATCTTGGTAATATGAACATATTTGCAAATATTTTGCTTTTCATGTTTCATACCTAATCACTTGAAAAAAATTTCGAGAAATCATGAGTAAAATAGATACCAGGATAGTTTAATTATCATGGATAACGTGTATTTTCAAAATGTCACCATAGCTAGAGCTAATATTCTAACCTTGAAAACTATTGGCTAGCCAATGACCAGTGCCTAAATCTAGGTTGAAAGAGCTGTGGGTCGAGTTTTAGGCAATTTTAATATTAGCCCTGTTTGGTAGAGCTGTGGGAAAGTACTTATAACTTATACCTTAACAGCTTATAGCTTATAATTATGAGCATAAGTTGATTTCTGACTTATAAATTAAGTTTCTCCTGCCTCACTCAAAGAATAAATTGATTTTTGACTTACAAAAAGTTATAAGCTGTATTGTTAAGCTAAACCAAACACATCAAAATAGCTGAAATTAAGCTGAAAATTGAAATAAGCTGAAATTAAGCTGTACCAAACAGGGCCATTATCCATTCCAACCATTTCTAAAGGGAACTTTTTTGATAAATCCATTTTCTAAGAGCTTTATTCCATCCAACCCATATTCTTTTTGACTATTCCATTAGGTCCAATTTGAGATAAGAAGACCAAAATACCCTTTTCATCTACTTATGTTCTATTTAGTTCACATTATTTTCTTATATTTCAATAAGTCCTATGGGTGACATAATTACCAAAATACCCCTAATGTAAATGTTCACATTGTCAATGTGAATGTTCAGATCGTCAATGTGTAGGGGCCCGCCCCATGTCGATCCTCGTAGGTGCCCGGAAAAATTCGAGTCGGGCCAAGCCGACCCACAGGCCAAAAAAATAGGCCCGGCCCGGCCCGTTGATAATGTAAATATTCACATTGACAAGTTAACATTCACATTGATAGGAGTGTAAAATTGGCCCGTGGCCCGTGAGTGGCCCGTGGGCGGCCCGCCGCCCGGGGCGGGCCCGGGCCAGCCCGTTCATAATGTAAATATTCACATTGACATATTAACATTAACATTGACAAGAGTGTAAAATTAGCCCGTGACCCGTGGGCAGCCCGAAGCCCGAGCCCGGGCCCTGGCTGTTGACAATGTGAATATTCACATTGACATGTTAACATTCACATTGATAGGAGTGTAAAATTAGCTCGCGGCCTGTGACCGGCCCGAAACCCGCCTGCGGCTCGTGGGCTACCCTGGGCGGGCCCGGTCCGACCCGTTGATAATGTGAATATTAGCTCGGTCCGGCCCGTTGACAATGTGAATATTCACATTGACATGTTAATATTCACATTGATAAGAGTGTAAAATTAACTCGCGTCCCATGGGCGGCCCGGGGCGAGCTCGGTCCGGCCCGTTGACAATGTGAATATTCACATTGACATGTTAACATTCACATTGATAAGAGTGTAAAATTGACTCGCGTCCCATGGGCGGCCCGAAGCCCGTGGGTGGCCCGGGACGAGCCCGGCCCGTTGACAATGTGAATATTCACATTGATATATTAACATTCACATTGATAGGAGTGTAAAATTGGCCAATGGGCGACCCGAAACCCGCCCGCTGCCCAGGACGGGCCCGGCCTGGCCTATTGACAATGTGAATATTCACATTGACATATTAACATTAACATTGATAATAGTGTAAAATTGGCCCGTGACCCGTGGGCAGCCTGAAGCCCGGCCTCGGGCCGGGGCGGGCCCGGCCCGGCCCGTTGACAACGTGAATATTCACATTGACATGTTAACATTCACATTGATAAGAGTGTAACATTAACCCATGCCCCGTGGCTGCCCGAAACCCACCCACGGCCTGTGGGCGGCCCGAGGTGGGCCCGGCCCGGCCTGTTGACAATGTGAATATTCACATTGACATGTTAACATTCACATTGATAAGAGTGTAAAATTGACTCGCGTCCCATGGGCGACCCAGGCTTACCCCGGGCCGCGGGCGAGCTTCGGGCGGCGGACAAATTTTAGACTCCTGTCAATGTTAATGTTAACATGTCAATGTAAATATTCACATTGTCACGGGTCGAGCCAAGCTCGCCTCGGGCTGCGATCTGGCTTCGGGCCGCCCACGGGCTGCGGGCCAATTTTACACTCCTATCAATATGAATGTTAACATGTCAATGTGAATATTCACATTGTCAACACGCCGGGCCTGGCCCGCCCCGGGCCGCCCACAGGCCGTAGGCGGGTTTCGGACAGCCATGGGGCGCAGGCTAATTTTACACTCCTATCAATGTGAATTTTAACATGTAAATGTGAATATTCACATTGTCACGGGTCGGGCCAAGCCCGCCTCGGGCTTCAGGCCAATTTTACACTTTTATCAATGTGAATGTTAACATGTCAATGTGAATATTCATATTGTCAACAGGCCGGGCCGGGCCTGTCCCCGGCCGCGGGTGGGCTTTTGGCCGCCCATGGGCCGCAGGCCAATTTTATACTCTTATCAATGTGAATGTTCACATGTCAATGTGAATATTCACATTGTCAACGAGCCGGACCGGGCCCGCCCCGGGCCATCCATGGGCCGCGGGCGGGTTTCGTCCCGCCACGGGACGGGGGCCAATTTATACTCCTATTAATGTGAATGTTAACATGTCAATGTGAATATTCACATTGTCAACGGGCGAGGCCGAGTCGGGCCCTCCCTAGGCTGCTGGCCAATTTTATACTCTTATCAATGTGAATGTTAACATGTCAATCTGAATATTCACATTGCCAACAGGCCAGGCCGGGCCCGTCCCGGGCCGCCCACGGGCCGTGGGCGGGTTTCGGGCAGCCATGAGGCGCGGGCTAATTTTACACTCCTATCAATGTAAATGTTAACATGTCAATATGAATATTCACATTGTCAACGGGCCGGGCCGGACCCTCCCCGGGCCGCGGGCGGGCTTTTGGACGCTCATGGGCTGCGGGCCAATTTTATACTCTTATCAATGTAAATGTTAACATGTCAATGTGAATATTCATATTGTCAATGGGCCAAATCGGGCCCGCCCCGAGCCGCCCATGGGCCGCGAGCGGGTTTCGCGCCACCACGAGATGCGGGCCAATTTTACACTCCTATTAATGTGAATGTTAATATGTCAATGTGAATATTCACATTGTCAACGGGCCGGGCCCGCCCCGGCTTGCGGGCGGGTTTCGGGCCGCCCACGGGCCAATTTTACATTCCTACTAATGTGAATTTTAAAATATGAATGTTCACATCATTAAATTGCTAATCGTTCAAAAAATATTTATAAAGATATCAAAATTGAATATAAGGGCATAAGTGTCCAAGAAAATAGTGTAAATCAAGAAAATGGACTTTATGGAATAAAACTATAGATACATGGGACTAAATGGGTTAAAAAATTCCTTCATGGACTTCTTGGGTTAAAACACTTCTAAATTAAACTTATCAATAAAAATCTCATTTCTAAACTTATTTTCCTAAGCATAACATGTTTCGTTCCATTTTAAACATCTAGAAAATACTTGATTGTCAATTTAATATATGATATCAAGGTTTCCCCCACCAAAAATTTATCTATTTTGAATCCCTTTTCATCTTTTATAATCCCCCCAAAAATGAAATAAAACAAAATAAAATAAAAAAACAAAAACAAACGATTAAACACATTGAATTAACCTCTCTCCCAATCTTCAACCTCATTATACGCATTGAATTATCCTTTCTCCCAATCTTCCTTTGATTTTCCTTTATTCTTCTTATTTCTCTTATATTTTTGCGCACTTTCTCTCTAATCAAACAAGCAAGAAGCTCTGTTGCATTTGATAAATCTACATTTATTTTAGTTATGTATTATGTAATGTAAATACGACATTTGTCTTTTTTAATTTGTAGAGAATTATCCCAAGGTGTGTCTCTCTTTTAGCCACTGTTCTCTCGTTATGACTCATTCATTAGGAATAATTTTCATATTTAAACTTACTCCATCCGTTTGAGTCTTAATCAAACTAAGTTTGGTCATTCTTGACAAATCATTTAGATTCATGTATCGTGGAAGTAGAAAATATAATATCATTTTAAATGAGAAAAAAATATCAATTAATATATAAAAATATGGGAATATATAAAAAATAATAATAGACGATAACAAAAAAAACAATGGATTAATAAAATAAATAAATATAGTAGTCATGATATATGATGTACTGAGCAAAAATGGCATATCAAAATAATATCGAGTTGATAGAATATATAAATAATAGAGAAAAAAATACAACTACTAATATAGTGAATGGCTTGGGCTAGAATTGAAACTGTGCAAAGAAATCAATATTCGATTACCACAATGTGTTTAGCGGCGATTCTGTTGGGTCATTGCCGTTATAATTGATTGCAATAACATAACGTGCTTAGCGGCGGTTTGTGGGGATATTGGCCTAATAATTAACTAGGCTATCACCCGTGTTATGCACGTAATAATTATAAATATTTATATTTATTTTATACTTTTTAATATATAAATTATATTTTTTAATATTTTTTATAAAAATAATTTAACAATCTTATCACTAACCATAGTGTATAGGAAAAATTAAAAATGGTACTGCAGTAATTATATACGGATTGTATCTATAATTATTTGTATGAGAAGATTTTAAATATTGATCAGAGATTTTAACCAAATCAATATGCAAGCATGTGGAAAGACATGTGGATTGAAAAAAGTTAATAAATGTTAACAAGATAGTGTATAGGAGAAATTGAAAATGGTACTGCAGTAATTATACACGGATTGTATCTATAATTATTTGTATGAGAGGATTTTAAATATTGATCAGAGATTTTGACCAAATCAATATGCAGACATGTGGAAAGACATGTGGATTGAAAAAAGTTAATAAATGTTAACAAGGGGATTTTGACCAAATCAATAAATGCTGAGTTTTTTTTTTTAAATAAAAAATTTAGAAAATTCATATTGGGATATTGAAGCTCCCACAGGCTCTGGGGGTTAAAAATCCCCTTTTGCTTAATATATAGTA